TTTAAACACAAACACTCTCATGCATCTCTTAAAGCATCTCTAATCATAACTCAAATTTTTACTCAAATTTGAGTAAAAAGCCTGATTTGATACAAATGACTCCAATGAACAAACTCAAATTTAAAAAAGGAGAAACCCAAATTTAAATGAGGGTAAACCCAAATTTAAAATAGAGTAAGGATAATCATTGGATCTTTAAAAGATAGTAAAATCTCACCATTAAGATTTGAGTAAAAAATTGAGTCTCTCTTGATTTGAGTGAAAAAATGAGTTTTTTTTTTTGATTTGGCATAAGTTTGAGTAAAAAAGTTTTAAAAACTTGCTCCAACCTTTGACTTAAACTTATACTAAATCAAGGAAAACTCATTTTTTCACTTAAATCAAGGGAGACTCAATTTTTTACTCAAATCTTAATGATGAGATTTTACTATCTTTTAAAGATCTAATAGTCATCCTTACTCTCTTTTAAAGTTGGGTTTACCCTCATTTAAATTTGGGTTTCTCCTTCTTTAAATTTGAGTTTGTCCATTGAAATCTTTTATATCAAATCAAGATTTTTACTCAAATGTTAATTTAAATTTGGATAAAAATTTGAGTCATGGTTGGAGATGTTCTTAGGAGATGCTATTAGATATATACAACCATCCAAGCTAAATTCTCCAACTTCTATTACTTTATTATTATATGCGTTTAGGATAGAGAGTGTGTGTGTGAGTATGAGGTAGACAGAGAGATAAAGTTATCTAATACTCATTAAAGCTCTAATTACAAAGATTATCTAATAAATAATTTAAACACACACTCTCCCATCTCTCATATAACTCTTTCTCTCTCATCTCTCATATAATACTTTCTCTATCTATCTATCTATCTATCTATCTCATACTCACACTCTCTCTCTATAGACCCACCAACACACACACACACCAATATCGACTCCTATAAAAAAAAAAGGTATTTTAGAGGTATAATCATTAAATATATAAATTGTGTATATTTTTATATTTTTTAGGGATCGTGTTTTTAGAGAAAGTTTTCTCAAGATTTTTTAGAAAATAGTATTTTCAAATTGATTTGAATTGTGTAACTAAAGAAAATAATAAAAAATAAAGTACTGTTTAAAAATATTTATATTGCATGACCAGTGCTCAAGATTTTTTGAGTTACTTAGTGTCTTCAGGCATGAGTTATTACTAGTTCTATATATGGATATAGGTAGATATGAGAGAAAGAAAATTTTAATGTAAATCAAACTCTTAAAATTTTGGAGTTGCTAATTTTCAATTTTGTTGTAATTAAATATAATTAATGAGGATATTTTGGAGAGATCAAAATAGACTTAATATTAAACAAATTTCTTTGATAAACTTATCACAAAATAAGTCCATAAAGAAGGTCCGGCCCCCAAAATTTTCAATTTTGAATCATCCTTTCACAAACCCACTCCCTAAATTACATTCACACAATCTTCACAAACCCACCAACACCACCATTAATCTCCCCATACATCTCCATTGAATCACCAAAAGTTCAACAAAATATAATTTGATCACACAAAGAAGTGGAGGAATTTAAAAAAATTGGGTTATCATAGAGAGAGACATAGAAGGACAAATGGTAATGTGTTGGGTGGTGGCAGGTGAAGAGAGAAAGATAGAGAGATGATTGATGGTGGTGGATTGTGATGTAACGACTGTTCACCAGTGATGGGGGGAAGAAATTGAGAAACAAAGGAAAGTGGAAAGACAGGGGGAAAAGAGAAAAGCGACAAGGATATTTTTGGAATTCTGGATAAAAAATTTGACAAATTTGGCCATCCAATTGCTATTTTGGGCACGTGCCAGTGCTTTTGTGTTTAATTAGTCTTTATGCCCAAAATGCCTTCACTATTATTTTGTACTCATTGTAGAGAATAGATGAGGAGCATTTCCAGGTGCAAAAAAACTTAAATGTTAGAGGAGAATAATATGTTAGAGGAAGACTATTGTACCGCCTTTGATATTGTATGAAAAATTAAAAAATTTAAAGTCAAGTTACATATTTTTTAAGTGTAAATTATAACTACAAAGGGCTTGATCGATCCCAAAACATTATGATAGATTATATATGTTACATCTCGTAAAAGAGAAGTTACAACTAATTGAAATAATTTATAATCGATCATAATATTTCATGATCATTCATGAATTACTTGTACCTTCACCTTTAAACAGTACTATATTGACTTTAAAAAATAGTAATTTTTAGTAAGGTACCTGATTAACCATCAAAATTATTATTTTATTATATTTAATTATTAATTAATTGTATATTATTTGTGATTAAATGTGTTAAATTTCTTAATTTTCTAGTTTGATACTTTTTCTAATTGTTTGATTTATTTTACAGGTAAATTGGTTAATTTTAAGTAATAATAGATAAAGCAAGTGAAACAATCACTAGAAGAAGAATCACAATTGATAATAATTGAAGAGTTAAGATTGAAATAGGAAGATTTATATTTGACAATAATTTAATCCTTATAAGAGTCCAAATTAGAAGAAAACTCATTTAAATTTGGATTTAGAACATATCCTAGAAGATAAGAATTTGACACGTTTTCAGTATTTTAGTCATAACTTTTGACTTTGATATTAAATTGACTTGATTTTTGCGGGATTGGAGAGAAGACTACAAGGGCTACAAAAGTGTATTTCAGGAAACNATGTTACATCTCGTAAAAGAGAAGTTACAACTAATTGAAATAATTTATAATCGATCATAATATTTCATGATCATTCATGAATTACTTGTACCTTCACCTTTAAACAGTACTATATTGACTTTAAAAAATAGTAATTTTTAGTAAGGTACCTGATTAACCATCAAAATTATTATTTTATTATATTTAATGATTAATTAATTGTATATTATTTGTGATTAAATGTGTTAAATTTCTTAATTTTCTAGTTTGATACTTTTTCTAATTGTTTGATTTATTTTACAGGTAAATTGGTTAATTTTAAGTAATAATAGATAAAGCAAGTGAAACAATCACTAGAAGAAGAATCACAATTGATAATAATTGAAGAGTTAAGATTGAAATAGGAAGATTTAAATATTTGACAATAATTTAATCCTTATAAGAGTCCAAATTAGAAGAAAACTCATTTAAAATTGGATTTAGAACGTATCCTAGAAGATAAGAATTTGACACATTTTCAGTATTTTAGTCATAACTTTTGACTTTGATATTAAATTGACTTGATTTTTGCGAGATTGGAGAGAAGACTACAAGGGCTACAAAAGTGTATTTCAGGAAATTTTCGTGATTCAATTTCTAAATATGCGAAATTTAAGCTCAAAATCTAGACAGATTTTGTACCAGCGCCCCAAAGATTTTATACACGGGATTTAACCTTACAAGACTTCTTTTTGGAAAGGAATTTCTTTCAAGCCAACCTTATCTCTTCTATCTGTACTTTAGATTTATTTTAGTATAAATAAGGATTCTCATCTAGGAGAGAGGATGATTATTCTTTACCAATCTTTTTATTTTGATTTTTGTTCATCATGTCTAGTTAGAAGGTTAAGCTAGAGCTAGAGGAGGACCTCTTAATGAAGTATGATAATATTATTCACTCTAAGTTTAATGATATGTGATACTATGTTAATTCAACTTTTGATATTTTAGCAAAATTTATGCTCTGTAAAAATCCTTAAGTCATTGGGTCATGTACATTGATTGCTTGAATTTTCATGCGAGTCAAATAATTGGTTATTCCACGCTTAAGTTAGTTATTATTATTTCATAGAATAATATAATTGGTCGATCATTCAGGTTCCTGAATAATCCTTTGATCATAAATTGTGGTATTATTACTTAATTTGGTGATTTGAATCAATCGATTTGTTTAGGGTTAAGAATTAAGTCTTTAATCATTATTATATAGATTTGAAAGGGAGAACCTGATGCTCTAGTATTTTTATTTTACTATTTTAATTATTTAAATCAATATTCTTAACTCAACAATCTTTTATACAAATTGTCTTCACAAGATTGTTATAATATTAGTGTGATTGCTGCTGTTTCACAATTTCCTAAGGGTTCGACCTTGATCTTCCGAGAAATATATTACTTCGCTCAACCTGTGCTTGGGTTTATAATATTAAAGTTGAAGTAGTACCAATTTTTTTTCTGCTAACATAGTGTTATCCTAAATGTTATAATGAACAATAAATACTTGATGCATTTATTAGCGAAAGTGTTGTAGCATTTATTAATTGATTAGTCGTATTACTTAAACCTAATTTGTTAAATTTGTTTGATTGCAATCTATTATTGGATCATTATTGAACTCCAGCTAATATCAGATCAGTAATTCAATACCCAACTCTCAATTCGATTTCTAATCACCTAAGTCTGTGGTTTAGCGGTAAGATGTACTTGTTTAGGGTTGTCATTCATTCTCATGTGGTTATCAAACAAAATTCGATGCATGAGAGTAATGCAATTTACTACTTCGTTTTAGTAGTGTTGTGGTCATCAATTGCCCTCTCAAATTAGTAGCTATAGTTCAAACTGGATATTCCACAATAGGGGACCCTCATAGTCACGTCTAGAGGGAGATACTACTTATTGATCGTCTCTCCTCCTTTTCATTAGCAAAAAAAATTCTTACTTGTATCAACCAAGATTTTAAAGAAAGAGTATCCCCAAACCAGAAGAAAAAGTCCCCACCATCACCCCCTTGTCAAAAATCGAAATAATTTAATTCAACAATAACAATGTATTATGTTTTCAAATTAGGCCGAACGAAATATTATCGATTTAAGAAATAAACAGCAGTAAAAAACATGAAGGACAAAAGTAATTTGAAATACTCATTTAAAACATCCAATATCTATTGCATGCAAGATGTAAAGCAAAATGATGAAAAGGTGTGAAAAACTAGACGAGATTTAAAAGGAAATACCTAAACAAATTAAGAAACCTCAAAACAACCTTCATCTTCTTAGATTTAGAGAGTCAAGGATAAGTCAAGCTTGTTGGAATCAGATTTGATGTTCAAGTTCTCATCATCACTGTCAACAATCTCAACTACCTCTTTGATTGGGTGATCCAATTGCTTGATGTATTGCTTTGTCATGAGATCACGAGATGGCTCAGTCACCACCGTATGATCAGCTTGTTGGATAGATGGCAATGGATTTGGTTTGATTGTTTGATCCATCGCCACGGATACGAAGACCAGTGGCGATGGTGTTGCCTTTGATGGAAGTGTATCGTTGATTTTAGCCCGCAAGGGGACTAACAGCATCGGAGATGGTTGTGGGCTGTATTTCTGGTTTTCCCCAATTATTGTTTGAGATTGTGGGTTGAGCGTTACAATCTGTGTATCATAGGTTCCAATTATGGAAATCTCTTTACACGTTGAAATGAGATTACCATGTGTGTCAGAATCTATCCAGATCTTGGAGTTGTTAAAATCTTGTACGCTGGACTGCCCTATTGGTTGGTATTGCGGTGGCGGATTTGCATGCATCAAAAGTTCGTAGTTGCTTCCAAGTGGTGGAAGGATGGGCCTTGACGGAACAGTAATTGTTGCTTGAGTAACATCAGGAGTAGGGTTTTTTTCAGCCGAAAATCGTGGCACCGGGGGATAGCCACTACGGCTAGAAAGGCTAGTCTCTTGAGGGTTGGATTGTGATGGAAGAGTAGGTTGGTGTGGATTAAAAGATGGGGATTGTTCATTTTGGTGAGGTGTAGGGTTTGTTTCATTTTGGCCTATTGGATCAATCTCATCTTTTGTCATGTGAGACTCATAGTGTGTTACAAGGGCATAAGCACCCATGAACACCTGGTTACACAATCTGCATGCAATTTGTTCTGACATGTTTTGCCTTCTGCTCAAGTCCTTGTATTGATGCATGCTTCTGCATCTCAANAAAATAGTGATATTTTGAATCTAATTTGTTGATTTAATTTTTTAATTAACACGTAGTTGATTAGGTTAATAATCGATTAATCAAATATTGAGACTCACTGTAAATCTAAGCATACGAACGAGTTACGATTAAAAAATGAGTAATGGTATTAAACTTAAATCTACAACCCAAATTTGCATCCCAAATGAAAGGGGGATCATTGGATTAGTGGGTTCTATTTAAAAAAATTGATATAACTCACTCATCCAATAGTCTCTTTCATTTGAGATATAAATTTGAGTTATAAATTTAGATTATATAGTATTTTCCTTAAAAAATTAAATCAGCAAAATATGGGATGAGGTTTCAGTTAAAGAAATAAAGTTGATAATAAAAGACAAGAAAAATAATGAATAATTTACCAAATTTTCCGCTGCCATTAAGAGCCAAAAAGATGTTGTCATGGAGTTATGAGATTACATGAATCCAGCATTAATGACTGCATTAATAAGGGCCCAGCCAATAGAGTTGGTGGCTCATTAATTTTTGTCGTTATTGTTTTTTTATACTTAGTAAAGAGTAATGCTAGATAGACTTAAAAATTAGACTTAATAATCTCAACCATTAAATAGATAGTGAGTTCTAATAAATGCTGAGACCCACAGTGAAATCAATGGTTGAGATTATCAAGTCTAGTTTTTAAGTCTATGTAACATTGCTCCTTAGTAAATGGAAATAATAATTATTGTATCTATTTTGTGTATGGATCATTAATTTTTGTTATTAAGTATTATACTGAGTAAATGGTAATAATAATTATTGCAACTATTTTGTGGCCACCCTAAAGAGATTTTCTAGCTCAGCCTCTCGTACACCACAGCATACCACTGAGATGGTACACTTATATTAACTAGCAATGAATAACGATTGTTGCACAAAAATATACTTAAATAATGTTTTTTTTATAAAAAGTTAAATAATGAATTTTTATTTTAATTATTACTAAACTTAATTATTGATATAGTCTATCACTCTTTGAATGCAAAATCTGTCATTTTTAAGTATCTCTCTAGTGCTTTAGACATTTCTTTTTTTTTTTTGTTTATAATGGAGGATTATTGTAAAATTATCATTCTTGAGTATATACGCATCTAATTATATTATAGATTTATTACAGTTTTTTTTCAAACAGATTGACTAGACTATATTATTTGTATTATAATATTATGATATTATTATATACCAAAAAATTAAATATAATTATATTTGACTGATAACAACATATATATGTACTAGTTATTGTTCATGCCTAAAGGTACAGAGTAATAAAAAAATTATCAATCATAAATATATTTGTATTCACATTTAAAATTAAATTACAAATATAAAAGAAAGAGAAAAATTTAACCACCAATTCTAGTGGGGGTGAGCGGTGAAGATTTAAGGCAGTGGTGGTGTGGGAGACGGTGATGATTGTGGTGGACGGCGACGATCGTGGTCATAGCTGTGGGTGGCAACGGTGATAGTGGTGGTGAATTTTGGATGATGATGGTAGTAGTGACAGCCATGAATGACGACGGTGGTGGTGGGCTACGGTAATGGTGGGACAACAACGATGGTGGGTGGCAGTGGGTTGTGGTTGGTTATGATAGTGGGTGATGACAGTAAGTGATGTTGGTGGTGGGATAATGATGGTAATAGTAATAAATATAAGAATAAAATGATGATAGTGGAAAATTGTGGCGATGGTGGTGGCGGTGGTAGTAGTAATTGGTGGTGTATGACGATAATGATGGTGGTGGTGGGCCACGGTGATGGTGGGATGGAGACGATAATGGGCTGTGGTGGTAGGTTATAATAGTGGGTGGTGACGATAGGTGATGATGGTGGTGGGATAACGGTGATAGTGGTAGTAAATATAAGAATGAAATGATGATGGTGGTGAGTGGTGGCGATGGGCGATGATGATCGCAATTAGTGGTGGGTGACGATAGTAGTGGTGGTGGTGGTGGGTAGTGGCGATGGTTGTGGCAGAGGTGGTGATGGGGTGAAAGGGGTGGTNGTGAGTGGTGGCGATGGGCGATGATGATCGCAATTAGTGGTGGGTGACGATAGTAGTGGTGGTGGTGGTGGGTAGTGGCGATGGTTGTGGCAGAGGTGGTGATGGGGTGAAAGGGGTGGTGGTGGTAGTGGTGGGGGTGACAATAGTCGTGGTGGGGGCGACAATGAGAGTGGTGGTTGTGGCAGAGGTGATGGTGGGGTGACGACAGTGACAATAGTGGTGATGGTGGTATAGGTTGGGCAGAGGCAATGGTGGTGGTGGTGGTGGTGGTAGTGAAGGGGTGGTGGCAAGGTGGCAGCGACAGTGGTGGTAGCGGTGATGGTGTGGTTGTTGCTATGGTAAAGGTGGTGGTGGGGTGGCGACGGTAGTTGTTGTAGTGGGGGTGGTGGTGCGGTAGTGGGGATGGTGGTTGTGGCAGAGGTGATGGTGGAGCGACGATGGCAATGGTAGTGGTGGGGGTGGGGGTGGGATGGTTCCAAGCACTACTTTTTTTTAAAAGTGCTAATGAGAAGCACTTTTGAAAAATCACCTCAATCACACTCTTAGGGAGCTTATTTTTCCTATTAAATTTGGAGAGTTAATATAAGCAGTCAGATTAACTTTAAAATAAAATTTAAAACGATTTGAACTACANACACTTTTGAAAAATCACCTCAAACACAATCTTAAGGAGTTTATTTTTCCTATTAAATTTGGAGAGTTAATATAAGCAGTCAGATTAACTTTAAAATAAAATTTAAAACGATTTGAACTACAAAAAATAAAAATTATTTTATTTATATTTTGGGATTTGAATGGTATTTTACTTTATTATATAGATAAATAATAATATAATATAGATTGAACTTTACTTATTTATCTATATAATAAAGTAGCTTGCATCTCAAATCTNAATAAAAATTATTTTATTTATATTTTGGGATTTGAATGGTATTTTACTTTATTATATAGATAAATAATAATATAATATAGATTAAACTTTACTTATTTATCTATATAATAAAGTAGCTTGCAATTCAAATTTTAAAAAATAAACAAAATGACTTTTGCTATTCGCGATTGAGATCGCTTTAAATTTTACTTTAAAGTTAATCTAACGACTAATATTAACACCCTAAATTTAATAAAAAAATAGGCCCCTAAGGATATGTTTGGAGTGACTTTTTAAAATTATTTTTAGAAATTATTATTCATAAATATTTTAAAAAAAATTAGTGTTTGAAATCGTTCTATCATTACCTCTACCATCACCACCACCGTCGCCGCCATCGCCATTGCCACCACCTTTACCACCGCCACCGCCGCATCCGTCGCTGCCACCCCCACACCCACCATTGTAGTCGTCGTCACCACTCCCACCACCACCACTACCCCCGCCACCACCATCAACGCCGACGCCACTGTCGTCACCGCCACCACTACCACCACTGTCGCCACCACCATAGTCATTGTCACCCACCACAATCATTATCGTCTCCTACCACCACCACTGCCACACACCACCTTTCCCCCTCACAACAAACCGATACTTAAATTTATTTATCTCTTATCTATTTTATGATTTGATTTTAGATATGAATACAAATATGTTTATTGTTTATTCTTTTTTATTACTCTGTGCCTTCAGGCACAGGCAATAACTAGTACTACTATAAAATATCAACAAAAGTGAAAAACTTTTGATTGATTATAATAGCCATATCAAAATAACTAATACCAATTCTATCCTTTTGGAGTTAAAATAACACCATTATTTCTATATTATTTGTAATTGTAACTGTTATGTGGACTCTTGACTGTTGAGTTGTTATTCTAGGCATATTTTTATTTTTCTTGTTCCATGCTAATTAATATGATAAAACCAGCAGTCACCATTATTATTTTTCTTATCCTTATATAAGATATAAATATTTGTTGTGCATTGAATAAATATATCAGGTACTTGGATTATATCAATTACAAAGTCCAAGAAACTAAACATAATTCAATGTGTTTAGAAACTTCCAATTATGTCCCTTTTCTCTGTCATCTATTGTAACTGATTTAGTAAATATATGAGTTACCAAACGACACTTCAATTATTCTTTTCATATTCTTTTCAACAGTGAATAAAATGCTGAATCAATTCATGCCTTTGATGTTTCATACTTCAATTGAACTGGTTCTTCCTTTTTCCCTCTCTCTCATGAACTAAAGCATGTGTATTGTGAAGCCAACTCAGTGGCTGATGCAAGATCAGCTTCAATTGCGGCAATAAAGGAAGAGAGACTAAAATTTAGGATTTGTGCAGTGCTTCAGGTTCTTGGGTCTCATTTGATCTATGCTATTGATGTTCTTGTTTCAAATGTTTTGTGCCCCTGTTTCAAATGTTCTTTGCTTGATTTTTTGTGTTTGCAATTGGTTTTCTTCTTTAGGGGTTTGTTTCTCATGAGGGTCTTTGCAGAATTTTGTGTGGTGATGTTTCTTTCAATAGGATATTGATTGGTTATTTGGGTAATGGTTAATTTTAATGTTAACAGTTTGGGTCCATGCAGAAAATTTTTTTTTGATGGGTTCGTTTATTAAATGTTTAATTGTTGACCTTTTCGACAAATTTTTATTGAGCTTGATATTTGATTTTTCACATTTTTTGAGTCCGTGTAAATAAAATTTTCAATTACATTTTAATCCTAAAAAAAATCAGATTCATGTGGAGGAAATCAAGGTACAAACAACATTAGGAAAAAGTTTTAGACTCAATGGCCAAGTTGAATTTATAACATCCATGGGCTTTTCCAACTCAACGGCACATGTTTTACTATTCCTTATGTTCTCCTACCAAAATTATCATTACTTGAGTAGGGCAATATTAAAGAAAGTGAGGGTTGGCCTAGCACGAGCAATGGAGTGGGATATAGGAAAGTTGTGTTTGTGAATGGAAAAAGACTCATGTTCTGAATAATTTACCCATCATATTGCAATTTCTTAATAAGCAGTGTATACAAGCTACATGAACCGAATCCCCATAAGGTAAACAAGCAATACCATATAAATTTAGTACTCCTTGGGCTCGAAACGATGTGATGAGATGGA